GTGGATCGAGGTCACGATAGCTCAGGTGGTAGAGCAGCGGCGTATCTAGCCGAAGGTCGTGGGTTCGAATCCCTCTCGTGCCATTAACTTTTTTTCATTAATTGTAAACTATTAAATAATGATTTCTCAATCCTGCCTATTAGTGAGTGCAAGGCAGTTTCCACTGATTTTCCTGGTAAATAGGCATGCTGATTGGGATGTATCATTGTATTAATTCCACAATCATGCCTAATATATCTATTTAAAATTTTCTCTATAATTTTTATGGAAATAGAAGATATACTTATATAGATTGGATGTAGATCTAAACACACAACAATAATTAATAAAACCAGACTCCCATTCTTAGAAATGGGGACTGACTACATAATCTGGAAACACAATTTACAACATCCTGTAAATCTCGTTAGACTACAATGGAGAAATAGAATTCAGGAAGACATATACAATGATATGGTAAACAGATGGTTTCAAAACAAATGAAGGCACACTAAAAGTCTTTCATTCTGAAATACATGTCATCAATACTTGTGCCATATAAAATCATAAAAGAGGTGAAAGTGGTTTATCGATGAGGGCCCTCTTACGCTGATGATCTCAACAGAAAGCTGTGTAGATCCCTGGTCATTCTTGATAAAGATGCGTATATGAACTGGAATGTTGGTAGATCCCTCTTCCTTCCTGATGAGGCTGTGTAAGTGACCTGGAATGCTGGTGGATCCCTGGTCCTTCCTGACCAGGCTGAGTATGTGATCTTGGGTGGCAAAATCTCACCTCATGAGCCTTGGATGTCACATGCGATTTACGAAGCGAAGGATATGATGCACAGAAAGTCCCAAGCACTCACAATTTCTTGATAGCATATTCTATTTAATGTTATCAATCTGTAAGAAACTTAAATTATTAATTAAACTTACAATAAATGAATTTATTTTATTAGGTAAGTTTTAGTTTTCGTAACCTGGGATGTTGGTGGATCTCTGGTCCTTCCTGACGAGACTGTGCA